CCTCCAAATTCAGTTTGTTACTATGCGTGCACTGAAAATGCCAAATTCTCTGACTCGCTCTCACTGCAGGAAAAAGATAAGCCCCCTCGGCCTCCCCAAAGGAATCTTATCAGCTCATCTTATCACTCAGACTGCAGTGTGGCAACCAAGCAAAGCCCTGCTCAAGTCTTCCTTTGCCTGGACCTGTTCCAGGCACTGCCATTTATCCCTGTCTGCTTGCCTGTAAATAGCGGCTGTTGCTGCACCTCCCAGTTAGTCCAAGAAAACCAGGGACCCCAGGGAGGAGGTGAAGCTCAAATGCCTTGACACAGAGAGGCTTTTAAGATACCCAGCTTGATGACACAGCCCCTCGGGAGTGCTCTTTGCTTCTCTTCTTCCTTTGAGAAATGCCACTTTAATAAATTTCAAATTCAGTTAAAATGCTTTGAAATAAGGATCACTGCAAGAGTGGGGGAAAAAAGTCAGTATTTTGTGGTTTTCTTCCCTGAAAGCAAGTTGTGTCCTGGCACTGCAGGCTGGCTGTCAACATCCAGCCCTTGGCTTTGGGGTTGGAGCAGGATTGAGGTGAGCCCTGACAGTAGATACCCATGTCAGGACTCCTGCAACCCAATCCCTGTGAATCCTCTTTATAAATCAAGGTCCCTGGCATCTGATGAGAGCAAAGCTGTTCAATAAAAGCCATTTCAGCAGATGGCAAATAGAACAACCATTGGAAACTCAGCCTCCTGCTTGGAAGTGGACTTGGCAGTGCTGGGTTAATGGTTGGGCTGGATAATCTAAAAGGTATTTTCCAACCTAAACAACTCTGTGATTCTATGAAAGCAAGTCTCCCTTTTCCCCAGATGGATAGCCAGTCTCTGATAACCTCCAAACCCACTCTATAGGCACACTGTGTAATTCACCTGAGTGAATTCTGTTGTTCTAATCACTTTCCCACCAGCTATGTTTGCTTACAGAGACAGCTTCTCAGGGCCTCTGCTGTGTATTTTAGCTGTCTTCCCAACAAAGCCCTATGGAAACCATGCACTTCAAACCTAAAAATAATGAGGGGCTAAGACACAGCTGGGAATGCTCACCTGTGCTGACCTGAGCTCCTCAGCACTGGCTACAAACCCATGCAGATCTGCTCTGTGGGATCCATCCCACAGCCAACACTACCAGAACTGAAGGCAGGTCAGCAGCTTTACATGACCTTCAAGGAAGACACAGCAAATCTCCTGCGCTGGCAGGGATGTGCCTTAGGAAGCAGTACACACCAGGAGTTTCTCTCCTTCCAGCATGCTTTATAGAGCCACCTTTATTTTAAATAAAAGTTATTTAATAGTGTCTCTATCTATTGTGGGTTTATGTATTTAGGATGTCAGGTTGTGCAAGGGCTCAGTTCCTTGTGGGAATAGCATACCTTGGCTGGTGGGATGAGTGGAGAGCCGTGTTTGGTAACAGCCACCACACCAAATCACGCACCTCACCTTTTGTCCTCTTCTGGGACTCAACATTTAGAAGCAGGAAAAACTACAGACCTGGATATTTACGCTGATAGGAAAATGTCCAAAGCAAAGCAGACATGGAAAAGCAAATTATTGTAGGATACAGCAAACAAGGTTATTTATAGAAGAGAAAAGGAAGTTTGGTGCTTTTATAAAAGGTTCTGGTAAAATTTAATCTGGAATGTTTTGTAATGCTGTGGTCATGCAAACATAAGAAAAATAAACTCAAGCTGTTGGAGGTGCAGAAGACAGCTGCAAAGCTGAGGGGAAGGAAAGAAAGCTTGTTTTATGAGAAAGACTAAAGAGGTTGGCTTGTTTAACCTAATAAAATCAAGATGGAGAATATGCCTGTCACCTATAAATACATAAGGGAAGTAAATATTATGAAGGTAGAATTGATTTAGGCTAAAGGGCAGCACATATAAATATTTCTAGCCATCTCTAAATTTAGGCTAGAAGCTGCATTTTTAATCAGAGCAGCCAAATTCTGGAGCAGCTTCAAACAGAAGTGGCAGGAACAGGAAATCCAGCTGGTCTTTTGACCGGAGCATGATCTGTTCTTTGACAGGACACAGCTGAGAGGTAACAGGTCAGACTCCACAAGTCCTCAGTGGGAATGGGGTTAAGGAGATGATGGCTGGTGAAGGTACCAGCACTAATGCCCATGTTTACTCTGTCCCAGCCAGCATCTGCCAGGAGCCAGTGGGAGCCAGTGGCAACCCACCCACACATTGTCTGCATGGCAAGGAAATTGGGTGTTTTAACCCAAACCTTGTAAAAATACCAATGTTTTGATGTCAAAATGTGACAGAAAGGCGTGCAAGGTGCCTTTTAGGAAGCCACAGCAAGGAATTTTAATTTCCAACCACCTCCAGACAGCAGGAGAGCAGTCTTACAGCCAGAAAGCCCTGCTGTATTGAGGAAGCTAGAGGACTGCATCTGGACTGACCTGCTGCCAAATCCAACAGCTGGAATACCTGCAAGCTCCAGCTGCTTTTCAGAGGACATGAAAGTGCCTGAGTAAGACACTTGCTTGGGAACACAAGGCACAGGGGAAGGGTGCTACCATGGCCCCAGTGCCTTGCAGGCAGCTGGCTCTGAGCAATGTGGAAACAGACTCTGAAATTAAGACACGTGGTAGTTTTTTACTTCTTTTCTCTGCAGCTTGAGCACATTCAAATAAACTTGCTTCTGTCCTTAGCCATAAAACTCTCACCTGTTGTTCAGCAGCTTTGGGGGTGGCAGGGAAAGGCTGGGGAGCTCATACCTGACTGTGCAGGAGTGCGTGCCTGCGGGGCACTCCTCCACCACGCTGCACATGCCTGGCGTTGTTTCCATCCCACAACCGAGTTTGCAGATAAAAGTATTTTGTCTACAGCTGGCTGGAATCTGCTAACAAGCAGGGAGAGGATCTGAGAAGGAGCTTCAAGGCGATCCCCACCACAATCCTAGAAATAATCAGTGGGAATCATCTAGAAATGAAGCAATCACACTTTCTCCAGGCTTCTCCAGGACAGCAATTGTCAGCATTTTTTTTTAAATAAAAAATTGTAGATAATTTATTTAAAATTTAAGAGGAAAAACTACAGGTAAACATATCTCATTGTAAACCCTGCTCTATCTCAGAAGGAACAGAAGTCTTAATTCTTTCCTCTCAGGGTTTAAGTATACCAGAGACTAAGATTCAGAAGTATTATGCTTTTACTGGTCCAGCTGAGAAATGCCAGGCAGCCTGAGAAAAAGACCAGAGCAATGTGCCCTGAAACTTACCAGTAAAACAAAAATGCATCCCAGCACCCAAAATTGCCTACGCAGTTCTCACTAGCCAAGAATCAAATCCCCATAGCAAAGGTCAGCTGTGCTCAGCAGCCAACATGCATTCTCTGCAAGGAGAGCCCTTCCAGAGACAGCAGCTAAGTGAAAGCCTGCTGCACTTTTAAAATCAATTTCAAGGTGAACAGATGCAACATGCACTTGGGTAAACCCAGGGATAAGCATGAAAATCGCTCCCAGAATTTGCTGAACTACACACAACCAGCAGCTGCTGGGTCCTGCTGCAGCCTAGGCCCTTCCAGGCCCTCCAGGCTTTTGGTGTTGGTCAACACACCTCACACCTACATGGCAGAGGCATAATGTGAAGCCATCAGGTGGAATGGAAATAATCCATCAGTATTTTCCTGCAGCTACTTGAGCTATCACAGATGACTTTTGTGCCAGGAAAAGATGACAGAGGAAGCTGTGGTGTTATATAAATACTGACACTTATTCTTGCCATCAAAGCAGCTATTAGACAACACCAGAAGAAGCCACTTGGATGCAAAATCCGACCCAAAGTTATAATTTCTGTAACATGAGATCTGGGGCTCACCACAGGCTCTGGCAGCCTGGTGCTGTACAGGTGCCCTTTGCTCTGAGCACAGGCTGTGGGTGAGGCTGGGCAGGGACCTCGGCCATGGGTCAGCACAGAGTCACCGAGACCAGCCTGGCCCCTTCCCCGACTCCTCTGGCCAGGGACTCACCCTCCTCCCCCTGTCTGACCCTCTGTCCATAACAGCTGCATTCTTCACATTTTCTGCCCACCCTGGCACACTGTGGTCTGGCACCCTTGCTGGAGCCAGCAGGATCACGTATCAGGATTCGGGTAATTGTGTGACTGCACAGAGAGCTAAACCAAACCTGCCTTCCAGGAGAAACAGATGTCAGACTTGCTCCTGACTTCTCTCCATCTCCCTCTGATCTTCTAAGACACACCAGAAGCTTGTCTTTTTATAATGCTTTATAATGCTCTTTGAAAAGAAATCCTGAGACTGGAAGGCAGTTCTATCTTTTAAGAAGAGAATTTTCTGAATTCCACGTGATCCAAGCAAACCCTTCCAGGAAAGGACTAACAATGACCACACCTGTGTTTGGCCATGTCCCGACCTTCCTCTGGGCTATTTTACCCCTCTCCTGCACTCAGGACTGATTCCAAAACACAGTTTTCAGGTCCTTGCAGTCCCAGCGGTATGAGTTTAAGTCAGATAAGGGGAAAGGCTACCATCTTTCCCAAGGGATGAATTAGGGGCAAGGTCAGAAGAGACAGTGTCAGAGGCAGCCCAAAACCTCGCTGGCAGGACAGAGTCTGTTTGTCAGGAAATGTTTTGTTACCACAGTGAAGCAAACTCCCATAGCTTGAACAGCACTCCCAGGGAATCTGTGGCTCCCCAGATCCCAGGGCAGCATCTCCTCATGAATGTGCCCATCGTTCCAGGGGCAGAGCATCTCATAGTTTAAATACAGCCAACAAATTCAATAATTCAATTAGTCACCCCTGAGAAGTCTTCTCTGTTACAGAAGAGAGAAACTTTGCAATGAGATGACACTAATTTTTTATAAAAATCCTTCTCCTGTAGTCCTACAAAACTGTAAGGCTGCTTCCCAGCCACCCTCATGACCCAGCACATTAGTGGGGTGACTCCCTCGATCCTGCATGAATATAACTAAAAACGATCCTTGGGGAATGGTGTTTCTCACCTGGACAACTTCTCCATTGGAAGCAATTAAATCCGTGGGGATGGAGACTCTGAAGTAGCGTCCCACCACGGCAGAGCTGTCGGGTATCCCCACCACAGCCGGCACAGCCTCCCGCAGCTCCGACAGCGCCGAGTGCATGGAGGCCTCCAGCTGGTTCTCCCAGTCCCGAACCACTTCTGCCGGCTCGCTGGGCCAGTGGCAGTGAGCAGAGGCTGCCAGCAGCAGCACAGGGAGCCAAGTCCTCCCCAGGACAGGGGCTTGCAGTAGGCATCCAACAGTCATTCTTCCCAGCAGCCTTGGCAACGGTGCTCCAGCTGGAAAGGAGATCACAGGGAATATGCAGGCACCACAGCACAGGCAGGGGATCCACCAGTCCTTCACAGCAGCCTCATCCTAGGAGTCCTGGGAACCTGGTTAGACATAGGAAATCCTATCAGCACATTAATTAAGATACCCAAGCCAGTCAGTCAACTCACAGTGACCTTGCAACAGGCAAAGGGTTACTGGCCATGTTACTCTCAGTGCCTCAGCTTTTGATTTAACTGCAAGTTACCACAACCATTAGAGAGCTTGAGAGTTCCTCAGCTCCTCTTCTGACATGCAGCATCTCCAAAGAAACAAGATCATCCTGCTTTTGCATGCACACAGCCATGTTTCTGCTGCTCTGGAGACACAGAATACCGAGATAGCCACAGGTAGGGAGACAGGGGAGATACAACCAAAGCTGAGACTGACCACAACACTAATAGCTGACCTTTCACGGCGAGCTGAAGCCAGGCTGGAATATCAGTGGATTTAAATGTCAGTTACCCAGTAGGAAAGATACTAAGAAACATTTGGAAGTCCAAAGCTGCCATCCTAATGGCTTGACACATGACAGATGCTTCTGCTCCTCCAACCCATGAGCCTGGTTTTCAAGCCAGGTCGCCTCTCAGGTCCAACTTTTTGTATTAGCGTGTTCAGGGTTGATCTGGGGGCCTGCAACATGCAGCCCCAAATTAGACTGAAGTGAGCTAAGCACACAGTGGTTTATTCCGCCATCCAGCCCTCTCCTGCTTGTACAGCTCACCTGTGCCCACACTCTGCCATGACACATCTCCAGCACTCCCTCACTTTGTTGTTTTGTTCTTTCACTTCGTCCCAATCATTACCACCTCCCTGTTTCCCTGGATCTCCTTTCTCTTTGTCCTTTGGCCATCATTTCCTTTGTTTCCCCAGCTACTTCTCCCTCCAGACTGCATTCAGCCACAGCAGTCACCATGTTTCTCTTCACAGACCGCTTGCAGGAGACCAATGGATTCCTGGACAGAGCCATGTGGGGCCCCAGGGAAGTTGTACTGCCCACTCTGGTATGGCAGTTTGCAGCCAGCACAGCCCCTGGCAACTAATCTGCAGTGATGAGTGGAGTGGTGGGTTACACAGGATGGCAGGACAGACACACAGACCAAGCAGACATTGTTCAATGCCAGGAGCACACAACACTGGGTTCCCTTATGCCTTGAACCAACTCCTTTTTCCCAGGCTGAGAGAAAAGTGGCTCCAAATTCCCAGAGCAAATCAGCACAGCTTCCAACCACTGGCTCCTAGTCGGATTTATTTCAGCCTTTCTGTCTGCACCATATGATTCAGATCAGGCTGTCCCAGGAGACCCTGGAGCCAGTCCGTGTGGGAAGGGAAATCCCACTGCTTCTTGCCCTTGCAGAGCTCCTGGAGCAGCACAGCAGGGCTCAGCTGCCTGCTGTGCTGCAGCCAGGCAGGGTGTATTGCCCACCAGAGGCTTGCAGAAGCAGGCAGAGGTCTGCCCATGTAGGCATCCAAGCCCAAGGCTACCACAGCAGGCTCTAGGAATAACAGGAGAGATAAGGTTTGGTTGCTCACCCTCCTAAAGCCTGAGCTCTAGAGAAGCTGAGAGGCAGCGTGTAAGGACCTGCACATCTGCATCCCTCGATGAGCCTTTCACAATAAACCCCACACAGAGAAGGGCTGACACCTCCTACCCCAAGGAAACGAGCCCAGGACACAGCACAGAGGGCTGTGGGTAGTGGGAATTAGGAGCTGAATGCAATAACCTCTGGCTACAGGATCCACGAGGCAGATACCTGATCTGACCGCTGTTCTGTGGAGAACCTGTCTCAAGTGAAAGGCAGAAGAGACAGCAGAGGCAGGATAACATTGCTGGGAACCACGAGACAGATGGAGGATGGCTGGTAAGAAGGTCAGTGCTACAAAAAAGCCCACTCCCTGCTGCTCTTGTGCTTCCAACTGTCTGACATGACGGGGAAGGGAATATACCAGATAAAACAAGGAAGGCAATGCCTTTCCCACAGGCAAAGGAACACAGACCCATAGACTCTGCTGAGCTGGAAGGGGCCCATCAGGATGATCAAGCCTAACTCCTGGCGCTGCACAAGACACCCCAATAATTCCACCATGTGCCTGAGAGCTTTGTCTAAATGCTTCTTGAGCTCTGTCAGCCTTGGGGCTGTGACCATTCCCTGGGGAGCCCATTCAGTGCCCCACCACCCTCTGGGTGCAAAACCACCAGCACAGGATGGTCTTCACCCAGAGAGAAGTGCCTGAGCTGCCACTCCAGAGTTTATCCTCAGGAAGTGGCTGCTGGGTAAGGACAAGTCACAATCCCTATAGGGTACATCTCTCCTACCAGCTCCCTGTGTGGTCAGAGGAGGATCTGACACATTGCAATTGATTGCAGATGAGCACAGAGTTATCTCAGCAGGTAAGTGAGTACCACAGTAGATGTCTGGTGGACAATATCCAACAGGCCACCTGAATGAGCTACAGAGATGTCAAAGACACCTGCAAAAGGTCCTGAGGAAGTCACTGCTCATCACAATGGGAAATCAGGGGACTCTGTCCCTGCACTGTGCTTACAAAGCTGAAAGAACTACCGTCACACTCCATGGAGCCTGGAGCATGGTGACTGTAGTGATGACACCTTGTCCATGATACTTCTTCTGGAAGCTGCTCGTTGGAAAGCCCTGATGTGTATGGCAAGCACGGGCAGGATCAGAGACTTGTAGCCAGGGGAGGAATGTGGCAGCAGCCCCGTGGCTGCCATGGGGCTGAGACGCTATCGAGGAAATGCAGCTCCCTCTCACTGCTGCATTGAGTATCCACACCTGAGCAGAGGACAGACACCCCAGACAGCCAGACACACAGTGTACAACTGCACAAGGCTGTAAAAACACCTGGAGAGGTGCTTCAGGCCAGTCCCTGCCCTATCACACTGCAGTGGGGCTCATGCATGAGCGTGGTACAGCTCTGTGCTGTTCAGCCAAATGACGTGATCCAGCCTGGGGTGTGCGTTTTTGTTGGATGGAGAGGAGTATTTGGGCAGAAAGGAACTGGTTCTTGGTATCTGCGGTGAGCAGGAGAGGAAGATGAAGTCATCACCTATTTCAGAAATACTTATCAAAACAGTCAACAACCACTGCCCCATATATGCCACTCAGCCCAGCAACTGGCCATTATATGCTCATGTGACACTTGCAGGTTGCACATTCAGAGTTTCATTTTAGGGAAACCACAGAAGAACAGGCTCAGCATATAGGAGTGGAGCACACAGGAGGTATAGGCAGAATTCAGTAGCTGATAACAAAGAATGAACAGAAGAGCCAAGAACAAACTTGCACCACCAAAAAAAAACCTTAACACAGCTCCACCTCACCACACAATGGACAGAAGCTGAAACACTGTCAGCCTCTCACAGAGTGTGAAGGAGGAAAAGCAGGGTGGTTCCACCTATCAGCAGAGCCGTACAAGGCATTGCCCTGCAGTGCTGCGGTCCACATGGGCTATCAGTGCAAGCTGAATACCTTTTGGGATAGGGAATCCCCTGCCTAAAGCCAGTAGTGCTGCTCTGCAAGTCTACTGCCACCAGTACTGTGGGTCTGGATGCAGCTGCAGAAGAGTGAAGGCTACCTGCAGCAAGGCAGGAACAAGTGCCAGGATCTGCCTGGTGCTTCTGGTTTGAGAGCCCACACCACCTCAATGGCACTACCATGGGCACAACCCTGACTCAAGTGAGAAACTATCCCAGCTGTATTTGGAAAAAGTCAGCATTCTGGGTCATTGTCCATGATCGGTGAGTGGCACAGAACTGGAGCTCTCCAGGAGCAAAAACCTCAGTGCTTCACAAATTCAAAACAGGGCCAAAACAAAAACACAGATGGAATTCTGCAGGTGGTTTTCTGCTGATCTCTGGGAAGCATCAGGCCATAGAGCTGACTGACTTAGGCAGCACTCCCCAGTTATGAGGGAAGGCTAGACCACCCCAGCTTCTCTACATGGCACTGTGCTCCTCCTTCCAGCAAGATCTGCACTGCCCAGTCTCACAGAACAAACACAAAGGTTCAGGTTAGTCCTGAATTTCAGGATGTTTCGTTCTGTCTGATCTTCTGAAAGAACTGACTTTCTCTTTATTCTCCTGCTTCTGTGAGAGCTCTTTTGGTCTTAAGTTCAAGCCTTCAGAGTGTTGGATGAAACATCAAAGTCAGTATCAACATCTGCTTCAGTCCTAGAGCTTGCTGCATGTGCCAAGGTTGATTCCTGATCTCCAGTGCCAAACCCCCTCTCAGAGCCACAGAACTGGGCCTGCTTGGTGCAGTTATGATGCTGCATTTGATATGATGCTGACTTGTCAAGGCAATGCTGGAATTTGCTCCTTCTCCATGCAGCTATGAGACCCACTGACATGTAAAGCACCTGTGTTATCCAGGAATGCTGAACAGTGCAGGCAGAAGATGGGACTGAAAGGAAAGACTGAGAGCAGGACAAAGTAGCTACTCCCAGCCACGCTTTTTCCCAGAGCCCTTTCCTTCTGCCCATCACGGACCCAGGTGTGGAGCCAGGGGAAGCATCCCAGCCAGAGGAGGGTGGCTGTCCTAGAAATGACTCTTCCTCTGTGGCCGATTGTGACACCACTTCAGCAAGAACCAGTGAAAGTGAAGTCTCTGTCCAGCTGCATCTAATCCAATTGCTCAAGCACACAATCACATCACTGGGCTGCCGTAATTAATCACCACCAGCATATTAATGCCACTGAGCCGAGTGTGCAGAACGCTCAAGTAACTGTGATGCGATTCTTGACTCTGGTTAAGAAGATATGTAGGAGTTAGGAGGAATCCCACTTACCTGATTGCTTATTTACAAATATCCTCATTAAAGAAAGCACTAAGCAACTGGCCTTTCTCTCTCTAAGGAAGCAAACTCTGCAGCAAAGACTTGGGGCACCTTTGCAGAGCAGAGCTATTGTCTCTGCAGAGATCTCCGGTGCGTGTTTCCACAGGAGGATCTCCGGGCAAGTCCTGTCAGCTATCACGTGCCTGCGAGTCAAGGCAGCAAGGAATGATGAAATGCAGCGTCCTGGCCAGGCACACAAAGATGGCAC